TTGGAGCCTTTTGGACATAGGGAACAAAGAAAAATTTCCCACGGAATTTTTTTAACAGTGGAAGGGAAAAGTCTTATCTTCATAGACGTTGTCGAAGAGAAACTGTACGAAAAACTTATCACCACGAAATATCCCTGGGAGGCGCGCTGGTCTGGTCCGGGTTCGAGCCCCGGCCGGGGACATTGTGTTGTGTTCTTGGGCAAGACAGTTTACTCTGCCAGTGCCTCTCTTCGCCCAGAAGAATTATATGGGTACCGGCGAATTTAATGCTGTGGGAATAACCCAGCGATGGACTACCATCCCATCCAGGGGGGGGGGGGGTAAAATTACTCAAAGCCGCTTCATGCAACCGAAAGCGGAGCTAAACGCCGACCCGAAGGGCCACATGGCTCGTAAGTAGGCTTTTGTGCCTACCTACGAAATATCCCTACTAAGTTTACTTGAGCACAGAAAGTTCCCCACGGAATTTTAAAACAGTTTTACCTTTTAGATGTTGTCCAAAAGCTTACTTGGGTGATGAATTTAGAGAGCAAGCCCTCCTCAACACGTGAATTTACTTGGGAAGCTACGTTAATGTTCGTGAATAGGCGGCTTTCATTTGGATGTAAAGCAATTTTAATTTGTTTTGCTTTACCTCGTTTTGTGGTCCAGAAAAAACTCGCGCTACCCTCTCGATCAATCTAATGCAAAACTATAACAGACGCGCCATGGTAAATGGCGTTTTCCTTCATTACTTTGGAGCCCCTTTTTATTTTATATGGGTTTGTCATTTTCAGAGTTTGGGCGTGGTCCTTTATGTGCTGGTGTGTGGCGCTTTGCCATTCGATGGCAGTACTCTGCAAAGTTTGAGATCCCGTGTGTTGGATGGCAGATTCAGAATTCCCTTCTTCATGTCTCGAGGTCAGTAAGTTTACTTACAACATAATTGAAAATGAATAACAATGAATGAGATGAATTTGCTGCCTCACCTGAAATTGCTCCTTGTGTGGTTTGATTTAAATGTTGGCACGCTGTGCTTTCATAATCTGAATTAATGCTGAGTTTAAATCAGACCCAAACATTGTCTGTAAATGGGCTTTTAATGGTCGCTCTCTCTGGGGGGTTCATTCTCAGACTAATAATTAATGTTAGAACCACCTTGAAGAACAAAGTAAACAGTACCACATGGAAGAGCTGATCAGTAGGTTTAGTAATTTAAACCATCTTTTGCACTGTAATAAAGATAACTGCATAGGGGTAAGAGCATTTACTTCGTATTAACCCAGTCGAGGTTCGCATTGTGAGTTACTAACAGAGTTTTCCGCTTCGGTTCTTGGCCTTAGCATGAAGCGTGTGGGCCACAAATAGGGTGGAATAAAACGAGGTTCCTTAACGAATAGTACGGACCGAAAAAGCGAGAGTTGTGAGATATTTGTTAGATCAACGCGTTCAAATAGAAAAAGAGAGATTTCAAATCAAATAAGTTATTTAATTTAGAGTGACGTGCAGTGAAATACGGCCCGCTAAATTGACCAATCATAGCGCACGTTCTAACTGAGCGGTACAATAGTTTGGAAGCTTTCAATTGAACGGTAAAAGGGTTTTACCCACAGGAAAGTTGGAATTACCTTGCCCAGCATGAGAGTGCAGTGTTTTATTTCAATGGTCACGCTTTGAGGTTTCAGCCATAGAATATATATAAATAGAACCAAGTTGTCAGACATAACAAGTTCAGATAGAAAAACACAGACGTGGGAATAATAATGAACCAAGAAGAAACAGTGATGAAGAAGATTCTCGTTCACTGCAAGAAAAATCTGGTAAAATGTAGGCTGCAGGTTTGAAGATGCACAAATGACCAGGCAGCTTTTTATCTTTGACATATTCGTCTTCTTTCTGCGAATTTTCAAATATAGCCATCAGACAAAAAATAATTTGTTTCGTCTGTATTCACACCTCATTGCCTCGCTAAAATCACGCGAACAGATGCGATCGATGTGCCCTTTCCTCCTGCGGGTCAATTCCCAAGTGATAGGTTTATCGCTTGAAAGATTTGGCAACATTAAAGTGAAATAAATTCAGTCGGACACAGTCTGGTGGAGCGCTGGAGGCAGGCACTTTCCTTTCGTGGATCGAGGACTACACGCGGCGGTTACGTGGCCCTTGTCTAGGTAAACTTCGGGAAGGAGTGTTCTCTTTTCTTTCCTCGCTCCCACAACATGGTTGCCACAGGTCAAGAAAAAGTCAAGAAGAAAAAGAGAAATCTTCAAAGTCAGGGAAACGTCAGGGAATTTCCCTTTGAGTGGAACCCAAGCCTCGTGTCTTTCTTGGACTGAAAAAAAGGTGGCGAAATCGCTTAGGGGTAAACTGCGTTAGACTTGCATCCTGACCAGATGGACTAGACTTCCTTGGTGCTTCATACCATAGAAACCGGCAGTCACATGACCAACAAAATAGTCTGCAGAGCAGATTTGCATCCTGATCAGATGGACTAGACTTCCTTGTTGCTTCATACCGTAGAAACCGATAGTTATGTAACCAACAAAGTAGCCTGCAGAGCAGACGTGATTTTGACTAGCGAGTGCTCAGTATGTTCTTAGCAAAAATTATTGCGTTCGTCAAAGAAAGCTTTCATAGCGCAGTCGAAATCGACATTCTTCGAATTTTTTGACATGTATTCATCGTTACAAATTTGGCACCCGCGAAAAATTCTTCAGGGGAAAATTTTTCACATGCAAATGACGTCATTGCAATCGGCCATGTGCTTTGTCTGTCTCACGGTTCGAACGCATCTCCCTAATCTTTGATTACTACTTATCTTTAATTTTAATGGAATCGGAAGGCTGGGGAGAGAAAGAAATTTGTAAAAAGGGTTTTAGCGGCAGTGAAAAAATAAGGATGAGGATGAGGGTTGGGTAATGGCGGCTCTTCCCGCCTCCTCCCCCGACCGTCGGTTCTAACTCCAAATTAAACATGGCCGGTTGAATATACGATCGCGCGCTTCTTAACGTCAACTCGCCCTAATGAGACACCTATACTGCAGGCAACCAACAAAATGACTCACTATACCAATTTTAAAGACTAGCAAAAACTAACGATAAAAACCGACGTTTCGGTGTCATCATGACGCCATTGTCAAGGAGAAATAAAAAATGAAGTTTGTGGCAAGGTGTAACACTAAATTAGCATAAATATGTTACGAGCTAATTAAACAAATACTTTTGCGCGAATTGAATCGCTTTGCACGTTCAGAATTTAAATGCTTTTCATCAGAGACTTAAAACCCACTCTGAACGTGCAAAGCGATTCAATTCGCGCAAAAGTATTTGTTTAATTAGCTCGTAACATATTTATGCTAATTTAGTGTTACACCTTGCCACAAACTTCATTTTTTATTTCTCCTTGACAATGGCGTCATGATGACACCGAAACGTCGGTTTTTATCGTTAGTTTTTGCTAGTCTTTGCATTTCTAAATCTTTATTGATAAGAATCTTAAAACGCGATAATCAGCTACATTTGTTCAGGAGACTTGAACAATGCAGCAAGAAACAGATTAACTGCGATGGCTCAATC